TAGCACGGCTCGAACGGCCCATGCAGGCAATCTGGAGGGTCCTCGCAGCACTAAACTGCAGACCCTCCATCAAAATCGAGGCCGGTAGTAAGTATGAACTAGAGCACGAGCTGGCCCAATATATCCTCAGGATTGAAGTTCAGGTCTGTGTTTCAGCAGTTATGGATTGCTCACGTAGCTAGGCTTGTCTTTTGTGTATGTGGTGAGTAACGGCCCTTAGGGCCACTGCACGTATTCCTGAGAAAAGGAAAACTTGAAAACAAAAGAAATAGTGACCCATAACCGAGAATCCGAGATGCACATCCCTGAATTCGAATCCAGAGTATATATTCTCTGCTCACGCTGGTGACTGTAAGTTTGAAGTTCACCTCTGCTGCAAGTAGGGTCCTAGCTGATTCGCTATAAGGGCCCTTCGAAAAAGAGGCTGGACACAATTAGGAAATGAATACTCGCATGTATAGACGAGTGCCAACAGTTTCGGGGTATCGCGTGGCCCAAACTTTTCTCCCTCTTGCTTTCTAATTTTTAGAAGTGAGGGGAGTGCTTGGCCACCCCACTCTGAAATTTCTTTTTTTTCTTTTTTGATGCGCCGCATCACGTGCGGCGCATCTCATGCGCGTGCGCTTTGCGCTGCATGTGCCGCGCCCCCGCGCATGAGATGCGCCGCAAGTATGATCCAAACGTGTAAAAACTGGACACGTGACGTACCCTAAAGGGCACATACATTGTCACACAACTATGAACTAAAAGAGCGCACTTTGCGAAACAAACGCCAGAAATAAACAATTAAAAAACAAGACAAACATGAAGGGCACACTGAAACCATTCATTTTTCTCATTCTTCTTTTAACTCCCCCTTCACCGTGCCTCTCACGTACAAGGCTCGCCATGTTGATGAAGTTGAGTGCGAGCTGCTCCCATCCCCGTGTACCATAATGGGCCACTTGTGCACTGTGAGAAAGAGGCAGAGTGAAGGGGAGGGGATAAACACCGGGAGGAGCGATGGAGAGCAAACAAACAAAGAACGATAAAGGGAAAGTGAGGGCAAGTACAGACTGTGGAGTGAAGATGAAGGCAAAAGAGGATAAGAGAAGGCTCAAGAATGAGTCTGTCCTTGACGACAGAGAGGACATACATTGTAAGGATGACGTGGATGAACACATGGAAGACCTAGCTGAGCATTCTCAGTGCAACAATTGCCATGACGGGTGGCATTGAGCATGCCCGCCATACACCCCCGACAAATGGCATGTCAATTGCAGGCCAAAACGAAGGAAGAACGATCACCACCAAAGACCATACATTCACTGTAGCGCCCATGGCCGCAAAATGGACATATAGTGTCCAGATGCCGAGGGTGCCTGCAGTCAGGAACGAAGGGACAGTTCTCTGCACACATGGATGCAGAAACCATGTCATTGCAGTGATTGTGACAGAGACGATGGCGGCTACAGCCGAGTGTAACAGTGTTTGTGGCTGTGCAAAGGAGAAGGTTGCAGAGTGTTGGTACATTGTGTTGCTGCAGCATGGGGCCAGAGGAATTATCTTCGACATAAAAGAGATTGCGGACGGTTTGTTGTGGCAAGAAAACAGGCAGCATTTTGTAAGAAATCAGTGACATCTGTCATGGCATGGACCATGGTGTCGTTGTCCCACAACTCCCAGTGGTCAGAGGCATGTACAATGGCCATGTAATGGCCTGGCCCGTGCAAATGCAGGCAGAGATGTCGGATGGAGGATTTAACCACTCACCTGCTCGAGCATTGCGTAGTTCAAGTTGACGGTCCCTCATTGCTACTTGTAGGACAGCAATGATAAAGCCTCCTTCGCTGGTATAATTACAATCCTCGGGCTGTAGTTGGGGAAGATCAGCATCAAGCTGAAGGGCGATTTCAAGGAAGTCCGATGGTGTATAAAACGGGCGGTGGAGAATGTGAAGACAGAGATTAGTTGCCGTCAGACCACAGAGATTGGCGAGGTTCTAAGGCTGGTTTGTTGGATGCTGGCCAACAATTTGCAGATCACCCAGATGGTGTTGCAAGCCCAAACGATGTTGGGTTGTTTGCTGGTCAGTCATTTGCAGATCACCCATTTGGTCTGCTGCGTGTGGCGGAGCACAAATTCGTGGTTCATCCGAACAATGCTGGTCAGCCATTTGGAGATCCCCCATGTGGTCTACGCCTTGTGGGGTCAACTGCAATCCGGAAAGATCATGTCCCAATCCCTCAACGTTTAAGGCTGCATCCTGAGTAGGGACTGTCCCTGGAGTCGGGAGTGTACTCTGGGCAGGGACCACATCATGTTGTACAGGTAAGTCGTGAATATCTAACACCGCAGGGTATAAAGCATGCTGTCGTGGCTGCCTGCAGGCAGCTGGACTGTCTGCAGGAGGCATAGGAGCGGATATTGCCATTCGAAACAAAGGAACCGCAACAACCTGTGGAGGAAGCACAGAGAGAATCGGGGCAGAGAAAGAAACAGGTTGCTGATTCCCAGACAAGTGACAATGCCGCGGATGTCGTCAGCGATACACAACAAGAGTAGTGGTGTTGCAAACAGAAGATGAACTTGTCCCTAGCAACGAAGGTAGAACAACGGGAACAATGGAAACTGGAGAGTCTGTTCGCAAGTGAGACCCTGGAGGAGATGGGGGTGGTGAGGAGGAACGCAGTTGTCTGCAGCCAAGCACAGAAAGAGATGAGAGGGGGGTGGATTGGGCAAGATTTTGAAATAAAGGACGTGAATGTCGGAGAGACTGTCATGCTCTTTGCACTGGAGCTGCAGGAGAGGAAGCTGTAGCAGTAAAAAGTTAAAAACTACAGTAGGGGGAATTACAGTTATGAAAACGCATGTATTGAAAACATGCAGGAGTATAAACTGCAGCAGCAGAAACTGCAGCAGTGGAAACTGGAGCAGTGGAAACCGCAACAGTGGACAGTGGAGCAGTGTAAACAGCAGCAGTGGAAACCGCAACAGTGGACACTCCAGTAGTGGAAATTGCAGGAGTGGAGACTGCAGCAGTGGAAACTGCGGTAGCAACAGATGAGCAAGCAGGGGCAGGACAAGAGCGTCGTGGGGGCAAAGAAGAAATTGGATGATACAAGGACCATCGCAGCATGCGTCGGAACCACTAAGAGAGACGCGTCACATGTGTAAGATAGCCACGTTGGCGGGCACCCCTTGGCAAGGGTTGGTGGGGAATGCCCTCGCGAAAGCATGCGACGAGTAACTATTGTTGCCGCAGTTCGAAAGTCCTTCCAGTTGTTACAGATTTGTTCAAATCTGGCCAATTGCCCAGTGAACACATCAGCCGGCTGATGGGAAGGGATGTTGGAGGTCGCACTTGGATAACGAATCATGCGAAGCGAGCCATCGGAACGGACCCATAGATGCATACCTAAAAAGGTACAGGAGCCATCTGTCGCTATAGTCTTCTTCCACTCAAGCCCATAGTGCTCTGGTGAAGGAGGTAATTGTCCCCACGAAATAACATCATCAATGAGGCGATAGGTGAAGGCATACTGCTGAGCGGCTTGAAGATCATGTTGACGAATGTCATCAACAAAGCGTGCTTCATCCCAATACAACGTCAGATTCGTAATTTCTAGGTCAGCATTCGTTCCCATTGGAATACCGATAATTTATTTCTGAAGCGTGCCATTTCTAGTGTACCAAATCATGTGAGCCAACCACGTTCACTTCGTTCTACACATGCCCCCTTGCGCCATCTTCAACAACACTTTGCCATTGTCCCTATGGACAAAACATCGCACGATTTGGCAATTTGCTGCAAGAATTGGTCTCTCTCTCATCTCTCTACCCATTTGGACACTCCCACTTATACTCGTCCTCAAGAGTCCGTTGTTGATGTCCTTGACCACCATGCAGTGTGGAATCACCATTGGGGTTACACCCACACTGATACCCTACCTTACCTTCACTATGTACTCGAAGCTCACAATCTCCTCCAGCTCTTCGCAACATTCTTGGAGTCACAGCATAAAATAACAGTGTTGTTCCCCTGCGCGCTCGCCCTCGTCCAACAATTCGCACTATTCATGAACGACCTCCTTACAAACCCTTGGCTAGCACAACGACGACTTTGTCGTATCTCAGCGCTGCTTTGCAAGGAGTGATCTCTTCTCTTCGCGAGAAAGACACTGAGCTCTATCGACAGATTGGTGTTCGGCGGTGCTAGATCGTTTAGAGTGCCGATGAAGTGGCGATTGACCTGAAAAACAATGCATCGTCTCTTCGTGGCCTCTCTCCTCGCACTGTTGATTTTACCACAATATACACCAACCTTCCTCATGACCGCATTTTGAATAATGTGGCAGAAGTTGTTGATGAAGCTCATACTAATGCCCTTCAGCATGCTCGCACGCAGCCCGCGGGCCTCAGCCGAGGGGTGCCCCTCTCCCTAAGGGACATTTTATGACTTTACGCATAGTGAATGGATGCGTGGCCCAAGGAAGACGCTAGGCCTACGCATAAAAGAAGAAAACTCTCAAAAGACTCTTTGAACTGCTTGAGTATTGGAAAGAGCAATTGTCTGCGAACATGACAAGAGCATCGAGAAAAGGATGCTTGCAAAGGATCAGTGAGACTACCCACCTAATGAGAAAGCTGGGCTACATCCCCCAATGCCAAAGCTCTCTCGCTCTTTGGCCCACCCCCATCCGTCTCAAGGCACTAGGTGGGGGTGACCCTGTGACGAATGGCTCCGCGCCCTGAGCATGAGCGTAGGTGGAGCCAAGCCACCTGGGACCCGCAGAAGGGTCGACTCAGGCTCAAAAGTCGAACAGGGTGGGGCCCTACAAAATTGGGCTCAAACGAAATCGGCTGAGTGAAGAGAAAGAGACTTTCGTTCACACTCGGCAGCCCCCGCCCCCCCTCCCTCCCTCTTTGTCTATATGTTTGTCCATCTCTCTCTCTCTCTCTCTCTCTCTCTCTCTCTCTCTCTCTCTCTCTCTCTCTCTCTCTCTCTCTCTCTCTCTCTCTCTCTCTCT